AAGCTTTTCTCTTAATGTAGCTGAATAAGAAAATTAAGCAAACAGGAACATGAAAATATCATTTTCACAGCACTATATGCTTTGCTTTATTTGAAGCTCACTTGAAGACCCTATGCCAGGCACAGAAGTTTAATGAAGAGCTTTAGTAATTCATAGGACTCATGGAAGAAATACAGTTACCCAATTGCATTGCCAAAATGGCATTTTAGGAAACAGAGCATTAATTCCCAAATATATCTTCTTTATATATATATATTTCACTAGACAGTATTCCATTTCAAATGTCCCTAAACAGGACTGCAAACTGACCTGAGCATCTTCAAATGTGTATCTTCCAGGGTCCTTTACATTCTGCGTGGTTTTGTCATAACTTTTTGAGTCTAGATTGATAGCGCTGGGTGCCCCCGGAGCGAGAAATTCTTGCCAGATTTCTTGGACACGAGCAGGAACTTCACGGATAGGCCTCTTCTTCAGGTCTTCTACTGCTAACCAGAACCTACAGCACAATATGGCATCTTGAATTCCAAATCAGTATAATCATTAATGAAGTGCTCACACTCTTAAAAAAAAATTAAACTAAGTGAAGTTTTAATCTAAAACACACCAAAATAAGAAAAAATCTGTGATTTTAGGTTGGGATCAACGTTCTTGTATGCTGTCTCAGGCAATCAATCCACCTTAAGAAGCAATTGTTACAAGCCTTTTCATGACATGAGTGGGAAATCTTTCATTACTTATGTATGGATAACTTGCTTATGGGAAGGTTTCTATTTAACTGGAATAAAACTGAGATTTCATTTCACCTGAACCATAAGGTTTATATTGCTTATAAACCTCTTGCTTTTTGACAATCCTTCAAAAGGTAGTAAGAACTTCTGTTGTTATCTACATGAATGTCTCTGAGTCTTGCTAAACTATATAAACTGTGTAACTGGAATTTTGTTACTATTACTCCACAAATCATGTTTAAACTGGAAAAGTGCTTGTTTTGCCCACTATAATTTAATTTCTTTCTTCAGCATTGCACTGTTTGTACTAAAATACTGAATGGAAGTGTTCATTCTCTTATTTTCTACTTCTAAGCAAACCAACATCAGGCAGCCACATATAGTGCAGGTCAGTTCATTGTATCCTTCTCACTCAGTCTGGAGCAGGATCACTAAAAAGGTCTTGAGCACTTTGTGATCACAGATAACAAAATATAAGCTTTGATAATCACGTTTTATTTGCCATTATGACTGTTTTATTGTTATTTCTTCTATGGGTGTTCAGACTGTCTCACTGCACAAAATAATTCTAAATTCAGCTGGGACTGCATGCTTCAATATGGTGCAGATCACTTAGTTCCCCCTGACTCCCCACACCCCAACAGCTTAACTAAAGTTTGACTTTGCTAAATATGCAAGATATATTGCAACTTTTCATTATTGTTTTAACACAACTGATCCTGTGGAACAGATAAACTGAACCTTGAAGTAAGTTAAATAAGTTGGATTTTCAAGGTTGACAAATAATTTGGGTGTACCTTTACAATGTGTTTCCACCCTGCTTACACTTTGAGATGAAACTGAGCTCTCGTAGCTTAGTTAAACAGGGATAGGACAGGGGAGAGGTACAGCAGAACTGTACTCAGACCCCTCAAGAAAGCAAAATGGTATCATCCTCAATGCAAATTGTAATATATTATTGCAACAACTCTTAAGGGAAGACAGTAAAGCATAACAAAGAAAACCTTATAGTATTCCTCATATAAGACATTCTTCACTTGAGGTGATTTACCTGCCAGGAAGCAATTAGTCCTTCATAGTCCTGTTTTGAAACTCCTTTATAGCACAGATGGAAGGAGCTCATGCTTATCACTCACAAGCCATTATGGTCAGCTTCACTCTACTGACATGATTACTTTAGGTATTTCTACACCCTTCAATTTCCATAGTGTCTAAGCAGACTCTTTCTGTCTATTGATCCTCTAAGATTCTCCAAGAGACAGAAAAGTAATATTGTACCAGGTTTGCAAATATATCAATAATGTAATAATGTACAGTGGTTTCTTCAAGGTCACAAAGAAAGTCTGTGCCAACAGAAGAACTTCAGTTTCAAAAATTCTGGGTAGCATCACTACTCTCTATGAACTGCAATGTGAATTGAACACAGATCTGCACAGAGCCTGGGGACGTATCCTGAGAATCTCATGGCAATGCAGTAAGAATACAGGCGTCATAACTCAAGTTAAAAAACTGCACAGCTCACAAAGTCTAATTCAGTTCACTCTTGTCAAATTTGGGCAACCTACTTTGCTTTCCCTAAGCTGCTTTCGATATTTGCATTTAAAAGTGTATATCCTGCAGTGCTAACCCCTTCAAATGCTTCTGCAACTGACTCATGTGTATCGAAGTCAGGTAAGGAATAGAAAAATGAAAGGGAAAGATGTGCTTTGTAAACACACATTTTCTATCACCCTGCAGACATCCTGAGTATCTAGCTCAAAGCTGTCACATTCTTGTTTGTTCCATTATATCACTGCCAATACTTCTGGAATTCACCACAGACAAGCCTTAGGATGCTATTTTCTCTTGCAAGTAAACTATTTCCATACAGTAGGTTATACTCAATTATGGGGAAATAGATGGGAGAAAAATTTAAGTTATTTGCTGAAACATTCAGCTTCATAGAATAGACAGGTTGTAGACACATCCTTACAGGCTGAACACCAGCTCTTTGATAGATTAATTTTATTTTACCCTTCTAACATTAGCATTCAAAAACCCTATTACAAATGTGAAGTTCTAAATATAGAAACCTATGTAAAAGTGGGAAGAAAATGTTGATTTCTGTGGTATGTTATGTCCAGGGTGCTTACTTCACAGCCAACACACATTTTAACATTTTTATCTACTTACTGATCTTTCAAGAAAAAATGTCTGCCCTCCTCCCACAGAGAGTTCAAGTCAAATATGTAAAGTTAGGAAATGCCAAAAATAAGGCTACCACCTCTTGCAGTTTCAAAAATAGATTTTCCAAATATTCCATGGCAACCAATAGCACAGATGAAGTTGATAGGAAGTCTGCAAGACCTCAGCACAGGGCCTCCAATCAAAAGAGCTCCTTGTCCCCTTTTACAGCTCTCTACCTTAAGAGCTGTGACCAGAACAAGAGAAGATTTCTGTAGTGAAGAACACGCAGTAAGAGCACGCAGTGTGCAACAGTAAATATGTGCAGGGGAAGGAGAGGGGACAGAGGAACCCAACTGCATTTTCTGGACAATAATATACACAGACTTGGTCCTACTTCGTGGGAGGAACCAGAGCTCAGTCTCCCTGCCCTCAGATGAAACTCTGTACCTCTTGTTGGTGCAGGTTTGCTTTTGCCATGGACACCCTTTCTAGAAGATGCTCAGTACCATTTGAACAGAGACCTGAGTAGCAGGGTGTAAACCTCATTGCTGTCTTCTCTCACAGCTTTTGGGCTGCCACGTGCTGGGTCACATGCCAGACATATAGCTGAGTGATAATGTATAGCATATGATAGTCATACATCCAGCCACATAACATGGTAAGGCACATGTTGCAAGACATCGGGCGAATATGTCCTCCAGATGGATTACTTTCAAAGTAAGGGTGGCCTTGCAAGGTAATTAGCTCAGCTGCAACATGGCTTCTGTCCCACTAACTGACCTAAATGTCAGATGTAGCCACTAGCAGATCCCAGATCAAGCTAATCAGTGAAATTTAGCACATAGGAACACAGCGTGAGAGAAAAACTGCAGTGATTCTCCCTAAAAGTGTCAGGTTTAGGCAGTGTGGAGACAGTGAAGTGGGAATTATGTGGGCTTTGCACCCAGTGCATGAGACACAACAGGTCGGAGAACAGACCTTTAATCATTTTCAGCAAAAGCAAACAAAAACCTTAAAAATCTTCATGGAGAAAATCAGTTAACATTTTTCTAGAGGCAAAAAAGACTACTGTGATTCCGAGTCCACCTTCTTGCCAAGTACATCTTCAAGCTTTGAGACATAGTGCTGAAGGTCTTCAAGAAAATGACAGAGAAACCATTAAATCTTGCAACTAGTTCCTTCTCATCTAAACTGCAGAAATGGCAACATTGCTGGGACTTGGAGTTTAGGCTTGAGTCTGAATGAGAAATAAAGCACCAGCAAATTCAGTCTTGGGGATTAAATTTCGGTCACATTATTAGCATTTAAAACAGAGTCTCATAATCAACAGTGTGAAGGATAAACTTTACCAGCACCCATACTGTGTGGGAAAGTGTCATTACCAATGCTTCTGTTCAGACTTGCAGGACAGACATCAAGGACAGTTAATCAGTCTTCATACTTTGTAACATGCAGAACTCTCTCCTCCACCATCAGTGAAGACAGAAATGTCTTGCATTTAAAGTCATCAAGAGTGATGATCAGTAACCAAAAACAAAAAAATGAAAGTGAAACAGGCTGGATTAAAAAGAAAACATAAACTCTTGCACTGTTCTCTCTCTTCTCTAGTAAAAGCACTGTTATGGTGTTATTAAAAGAATAATCACAGCCACTGAAGTAAGTTAAATATAAAATTGAGCACTGACTAAAACAGTTTGTAGGTAACATTGCAAATTTTTAGTAGTGTCTATGTGGGCTTTTATTTATTTTTTCTACAAGACATAATTGAAGCTTCTATCTCCCATACAGAATATTTCTACAAAAATTTAAATTGATGAGTTCAAAATAAACACCTCACAAAATCTCAGGTTGCAGGTGGATAGTCAAAGAAAATTTATCGAGGGACAGCATCTAAATCTAGCTAACTCCTCAGTCCCTCTCTTCTTTTTCTGCAAAAAACAGAACTCAAAGCCCCTTTTCTCAATTTACTCACACCTTATGGGAGCTAATAAATGAGGATCAAAGGAAGGGGCAAGGGGTCCAATGGCTTATCCTTCTGTGCATCATGGAAGATGTCTTGTCAGCACTCTCCCTTCACTAGAGAGGCTTTTGTAGTCTTAGCAGTACCTTGGAGTTCACATCTACTGCAATACTGCATAATGACTTGGCCAGGCTTTGAGATTGGGAGGCCTGAAACCATTTAGATCTTTACAGGCTGCAATTCCTACAAAACAGCCCTTGGTAGCAAATATACAGTCAGCATATGGATATTAACTTTCCAAAGATTTCTGCAACACTACAGACAAAGGAAGGATATGGAGAGGAATGGGGATTTTCTACAGAGATGGAAGAAATTAGGTCTCCAGCTGACATATTGCAGTAAGATTCATTTCACTATCTCACCCTCTTTTAAAAGTCCTTTTTCAGTGCTTGGGCAGCCTTGTGACTAAGATCAGTATATTGGCTCATGCTCAAACTTAAATCTTGTGAATTTTAAACAATGGTCACCATTTTTGTAACAGGCGGTGGGAATTTTGTAAATCTATTATCCCAATCATGTTATTTTAGCTATTTGTTCTGTTTAGTGATCAGCATGCAAAGCAATCCCTCCAAAAAAATCTGCATGGTAACAAGAGATTACAAATCATAGCCTGTGTTAGGTGAATGCAGAATTTAACCTGGGTGTTAGCAAACTGAAATCACACTGTAATGAAGCTACTGTGCTGACAGAACTGCTTAGACAGTTTTATTCCTTTGCTATGCTTTACAACAACCCTTTAAAGAGTGACATACTATTAATGCCAATTTACAGGCAAAGAAAAAAAGCACAGAGATATAGAGTAAGAATGTGAAACCTGGCTGCATTCCTAATCATTGCATAGTTCTTAGTTTTAACACATGGTTCAGGTTTCCTCATCCCTGTTTTGTTTCTTAAAACAGGATCTATATCCACTAAGAATGAGATTCTCAGCCAGATCAGACACTCTCAGTCCAAAGGTTGATTTCCCCACAATTTGAGAATTCATAAACATATGAATCTGAGCTTGTGAGACAGTTTTCCTTCCGCTGATCATCATAGAAAGCACTTTTTCAGAGCAAGTTTGATCCCCTGCCTGATCCTTACCAGGGACAGCCTTTAAGCTCATATTCACTGTTGCTCAGATATTGTATTTTATAATGCCAATATAAGAATCTAGAGAGAGAGAGAGAGAGAGAAGAGTAGATGGTATGTCAAGGAATCAGCTCTGAACAAATTTCTCAAGGGAATTTTTCTGGATCAGTCACTTGCAGTTTGCCAGTGGTTAGTGTTGTAAATAGGATTAGAAAAAAGAGCTAGGGATTATGCACGTAACAGCCTAGTTGGCAGAGAGACAAATTAATCAGAAAAGCATAGAAACTGCTGCACACACTGGACTAGATAGGTTCATGTTTGAACAGCTGCTCTGCATAAGGAATTACCAGGATGCTCTTTAGATAAAAAAAAATTACCTTTGCTTTTCTTGGTATTATTCTGATTTTAAAAAATTCATTTTACCACTGGGATTTTTTAATAAAAAAAAACCAAAAAACATCCCTGTATCTGTTTCTAAAGAAGTTATCAACATACACATACAAGTCAGGCAATATTTTCACAGGGGTAATGGCAAACAAATCAGTTGGAAAGTATCATAAGGTCTAGACTATCTAATATACATTTGTGATGCAAAATTCAATGTTTGAGTATGAACATGGTCAGCAACGTATAGAAGTCCATCTCCAATTATACTGCTGACAAACTTAAATTAACAAGGAGGTCTGTGCAACTACTCAGCATTTATGAATCAACACCACAAAATGCTAAATGCCTCTTGTAAGGGGATACATAAATGTAACTCTAGTATGAATGGCTATGCTGCAGCACTTCAGAGTGTGAACTGGCATAGAAAAAAAGTAGTTTAGGATTTTTTTGAATTCTAGAATGTGTGCAAATAGGATTTCATAGTCCTTATGCTGTTGGTGAATAGGAAGTGATACAGATGACATCTGAGAAGGTGAGATAAAGAGAAAAATAATACATGTTTTTTGTACTATGTACAGTTTGACTTATTTATAAAAAGGCTGTTTTAATCCCTTTGTAATAATTCTTACTGAAATATGGCTTCCTTAGAACAGTGACAACAAAACATGCTATTAGCTAATAGATGGACTATCATTTTTTTAAATCAATTAGTTGTTCTCCCTTACTTTAATTCTGTATACACAAGGTTTTTCTACTTTTTTTTTTTAAGCTTCATACACTAGCAGCACCTTTCCACTTTCCAGTTAGTGAGGAATTTGAGAGCTAGTTGTCACACTACTTCTGTTGTGTCAGATCCACAAGTACTAGATAACAAATTATCTTTTTTAATCTTACTGTTCTCATGATATTGGACTTAATAAAAGATACTGAACAAGCATAGAATGGATCAATGTTTAAAACCTGTTTAATAAAATGAGCTGAGAGAAAAGCTCTTACATGGGTAGTTTGACCAAAAGTTAAGCATGAATGGGAAAATACGCTTCATGTGAGTCTCTGCTAACTATATCAATCTCTCCCTCAGCCTGAATATGGAAGCAGGCAGAAATCTGCATTAATTGATTCTGAAAGGGAAGACACAGGAAAAATTTTGAAGGGGTCAAAAAATTAAAAGAAAGGCATCAGACAAAAAAAATCCCCAAATACCAATGTATCTTACAAACTGTTAAAAATAAAGTCCCTCTCATTTACCTTAAATTTTCTGAACTGAATTCTGACTCCAGGAATTTGAGAAACTGCTCTCTTCCCACAGGGTCTTTCAAAGCTTCATCCATGCCAAACCCCCATCGTTTCACCCTCTGCTGTCCTGGCTCTTTGCTACAGAAGTAAAAACAATAGAACTTACAATCATCAATACTTCAGTATTCTAATACTCTGTGTTCATAATTTAGACAAAGTCCTAAACTTCAACCACAGATTTCTCACTTTCCAGTTTGCTCATATCTGGAGATGAGCAAGCAGGCCATTAGTACTTACACAGGATGAAGGTAATACACATGCATTTACACGGAAGAACAAGGACTTCCAACTAGGAAAAGTTATCAGATTTTAAAAGGTGTCTTTTTTTCCCACACAGGAACCCTGGAAGCTGGTTACTGTAACTTTTTGCCCAGATCTATTAATCCGTAAGTCTTCCCACCTTACGAAAATGTAAGGCTGGAAAGACCAAAAGGATACTGCATTCCCCTTCTGCCTCAATATCTTCCTGAAATATCTCTATCTGAAATTTTTGCATTTCAAGAAAAGCCTGTTATACTCCCCCCCCACCAAAAGAATAAACAAAATCATATACCTTGCCTCCAGTTCCCAGAAAGTGGTGTCATCTGATATCCAAGGGTTTGAAGGATCAGGGGGCACAAGAAAAGGATCATATTCCAAATACTGCTCTGTATAAGCTAATAGACTAGGAAAACAAAAGCATCAAACGTTGTCATGTCAGGAGGTGAGAAAACCTGATCAGGTTACCTCAGTTAACATGTTACCTTGCATCAACTGAACCACAGCAAGTGTGTGTGCATACACTCAAAAGTCAGCTACAAGCTTGGGCTACGTAGGTTTGCTTAAGCCTTTAAAAAGTGGAACCCTGAAGAAGGAGGCAAGGCTCAGGTCTTATCAAGAGCTGAAATAAAATAAACCACAAACTTCTCTAATACTTCCATATAGCTCCTTTTAGGGTTCCTTTAGGCACTAATAAATTAAATCAAACAACCTCTTCCATGCACATTTGCTTTCATAAAGGAAAATGTTTTATACCCTTACGGTTTTAACTATCAGTTAGTCAGTCTTTCTGAGGGGCTTTTTGTTTTATTTGCTTTCTAGTCCCTTTCTGACAAATTTTGGTCTTATTTGGAGAAAGATTCCTAATAGTGTTACATCCTCTGACCTGAAATAAGCTCAGACTCCTTTAGTTCAAGGACAGAGCTCCTCATGCAACCAGCTCTGCCAATCAGATCTATTGTTTGGTCAGTGACTGCCCTTTTGAAATATCATAACAGTAACCCCATTTAATTTCCATTTAGCTAATTTCCATTTAGCCTCCTTGCCAATGCAAGGTGAAACTTTTGACCACTTGTGACCAGAGGATTTTTGGTGACTCTTGGGTTTATCAGAAATGAGTCATGGACTATCTAGGCCATCTTTTATCAATGAAAAAACTTCATACCTCCCACTTAAAGTAAACTCTCATCAGTTATTTCTATGACACCTGACCTCCCTTACCTCTCTTTCTTTGAAGATATTTCATACTCACATTTTCCCAATAGTTATCAGTCTAACTGAAAAACCAGAAGATGTGACAATATACTTACCTCTCTGCAACTTTTGACATTTTTAATCTATGTCTGTCTAATTGCATTTGCCAGTGCTTAATCTGCAAGAAAGGAAGGCAAAGAGTGTTATGAGTAATTCATTGCTCGACTCTATTTCCATAACTTTTTTATTAGGGCTGTAATTTAACCTAAATTTATCCTAGGGCCCAGAAGAGAAATATATCTGAGTTAAACCAACATTTCACCAGTGTAGTTCTAAAATAAATGGAATTTTCCATTGAAGAGAAAAGATCATACAGAGACAAAAAAAAAAAGGACTCAAGATAACATCTTCCCTAAATGTTCATCAACAGAAATCCAATTAGCCGTTTATTAGGTTTTTGAAGAGAACTATTAATACTTCAGACATTTACCTTCTCCCAATTCTAACACCTCAGGAAAGATGAATGAAGCATGAACAGCAGATAAATGTCTGAACCCATACATGCATACACAAAGGAGTAAGTATACCCCCAAACTGCGAATCAGTGTTGAAGAGTGAGCTGTCTACTGCTAAAGGGACTAATGGGCTTAGTTATGCCAAGAACCCACTAACTGGACTGCTGCTAACTGCCTTTAACTCTTCAATGCAAGGTACAAAAAATTTCAGGTTTTGTCTTGTTAGTTTTAATAGAAGTTGCATACCTAAATCCATACATCCTGAAATGAGGAAAAGGTTTACTAAACATTTGATAGATCTGTTCTGAACATACTTCCCAGTTATGAAAATTTTTGGCATGGTATCTACTTCCCTGAAAAGTTCATTTAAAAGTACATGTTTGTAGTTATTTTTCAAACCTCTTGGTGTAGTTCATCTTCTGTGGGTGGCTTAGCCTCCGGTACTGGTGTGTGGGTAGGGCTGTGACTTCGAATATCATTTTGTAAGCCATAGACAGACTATGCAAAAAATACAGAACAATGATAGTTGCTTTCAGACAATGCTTTCTACACATACCCATAGTAACTGTGATGTTTTAGTACAGTGCACTCAAGAAGTTAGCCAAGATAATATTGTTCTCAAGAAACTGCAAATAAGGCATGCATTCAGATAAAACTGTTCTTTCATACCATAGTGTAAAATAAAGACTTCCCAAACCACACGATTTCATAATGCCATAGTACACAGGATCTACTTTTATTTTGTCTCTATATTAACGGTATAGTAAACACGGACAATGATACTGAAAGGTAGCTATTTCAGTAAGTGGAGATGACCAGTAGGAAAAGAAGAAACAGTATCCTGAAAGGTAGACTATCACAATGGATTATTTGGATGACTCAAATTTCCAATTACTGCTCTGTCATTTAAGCCAATCTGGACCTCTCACTACCATGAAACTTTCTCTAAATCCACTTTCTTTTTTAAAACACATTTTTCCATGGGTTGACATGAAAGTATACCTCAAAGGGAGTTCTTTAAAGTTGGAGTCACTCTACATTATTATGATACAAAGGATTTGAAAGAAAGTGGTGTTCCAATCCATCTATACATTCCTAGAGAAATTACACTCTTCATGTCTGGATCTTAATTTAGATTAAGCTAATGCCCTCCACAATTTCTGATCACCCATTTAATTGTAAACTAGAGACAGATTTTTTATCAAGACCAGCACAAGAACTGCTGTTACAGCTTACACTACATTTTAAATTTATTTTTCCTTAATCACTGACAGAAATATTTTAACATGCTTTATTCAATTTACTAAACAATATGAATAAAGCATGCAAATATTAATTTTATTTTCATATTCTCTGTTTATTTCTCCAAAGTCTTTCCTATGTGATAGCATTTATTTAATATTAGCAACTTTGTTAATACTAAGTCATTTAAGAGTTTATGGAATAATAACACATGTTCATGTATTTGTTCTTTGCAGCTGTAAGAAAAAATTGTTTTAAGAAACTATGGAACTTCATGCTATAAATTACCTCCACCTCCTGCTTTCGATATAATAAATAGTACTTACCTTTCTTGTTTTATGTGGATTTCTCATTCTTGAAGATTTTTTTATATCCACTTCAGTAGTGTTTACACATCCAGGCTATGAAAAGAAAAAGAAAGGAAAGAACAAGGATAAAGGAAGGGATTCCATAGTATTTTCATTGAGATGCTCCTCTTCAGTGTGTAAGGCTAAGAAAATAAATAACTAGAGGCATATAATAACTTGATATCCTTCTGCAATAGTCCCTAAAACCTAAATAACATAGAGTCTAAGGAAACATCTCATATACCATTTTGTCTGGCTTATTATAAGAAGTATTCACCTGCTATTCACCCTTGTTTGCTGGACCCTCTGATGGCTTTTAGGACAAATTTTATTGTACATCCTTATGCTGAAAGTACTGAAAGCAATGTACTGGGGAGCGGAAAATATCCAAATGCATATTACAAGACACATTTGCAGCACAGACATTCAAATTAAATTGCTACAGGCAGTATTTGGGAATCCAGGAGTAAGACATTGAAGACCACATGCTTATAGCTCATGACATCATGAATTTGAAACAGAATAAATGCTCTAGATAACAGAAATAAATCACATGTTTCTGCTTTGTTTTTTCCAAGGAAGCCATACAATGTGCACTCTAGCTATCCCTCTAAGAAGCATGGTTGACCTAATGAGACAAAATAAATAGAATTGTGCAATACCCACCTCAGGTAAACCCCAGGCTCCCTTCAAGGGCATCTGATTTTGGGTCACTTCTTTTTAGATTATCTTTTTTAAAAAAAAAGATGGAAAAAACGTGCCAAAATGGGATTTGTTTCTTCAGAAAAGAAAAAAACGAGGCTTCAGCAGCCTGACCAGGAGACTGGCAGTCTAAACAGAACGACTCTCAATGCATGTGATTTGGCCTTCAAAGTTTCCTTCTCACAACTCTGTAGCATCCCAAAGGACACAAGCACTCCTAATTCATCTTCCTTTGACACTCCCCTCTACGTACAAACTCTGTGCAGAAATCTGTTCTTTACCCATTGCTGGAAAAAACTAACAATAAGTGCTATGCTCTCAGGTTAGTTTTAACTATTGATTTTAGAAGGATTACATTTGCAACACAGAGTGGAAAGCACAAAATCTGCTCTATAGTGGGAGCAGAGTTTTAGTGAAAGCAGGTTGGGGTTGGTTTTTATTTTGTTTTGTTTTGGTTTGGTTTGTTTTAATTGGAGAAGCTAGATGTAGAATTTACTTGCCAGACAAAAAATCTGGACTTACTATCACACTAATGATATAAGCTTTGTCTTCTTACCATACTGTAAAATGCTTGATGTCACTGTAAAACTTCACAGACAAAATTTTTAGGTATTTCTTACGTAGGCAGAGCCAAGAAACAAATACATTTAACTAAACAGGCTAATGGGACTTTGCCTCTGGAAAATATTTTTAATAATAGACTGATGTTTTAATCCAGTATGATTTTTCAATTAATAAATAAGTTTTTATTTCAAAGTAATACATTACTGTGCATTAGATCATATTAAATTTGCAATATAAACAGTTCCTCATCATTAGGAATAAAAATAGGCACCTAGATAATATTCTCAAGATTGTACCTGACATGCCTGTTGAGCAAGATTTGGGAAGGTACACTTTGTGCTTGTACACAAAAATGGTAGTTTTGTCACTCAGAATAACTTGGAACTTTCAAAGACAATGACAGGTTGAAAAATACAAAATTCTGCATTAGAATCAACTTAGAGGCAGAAGGCAATTTCACAGGGCAGTACACTGAGCTATAAAGTTAAAAAGAAAACAATGCATCTACTTTAGGATTATGGCAGCAGCTGGCAGTGAAGAAGGCATGGGCTTTTAACAATATCTACAGCCCTTGAATGCAGTCATTTAAGTAGCAGGCACACTTACATAAGGCACAAACTGTTGTTTGTTTAGTTTTCACTTATAGTTTGTTAAAAGCATGTCCTAAAAATGGAGAAGTGGAAAAAAAAAAAAAAAGGCCAAAAAAAGAGAGGTATAAACCTTATCCAAAGCCTCTTTTTTTTCAAAGATTTCAAGTGCAGATTTATCAGCAGTAAATTGGTATGAACAGATCTAGCACTTTGCCCAGGTAACTTACATGTCAGAACTGTGCAGATCAATGCAAGGGACACAACAATAAATTCTGGGAGATTTTTAGGAATGAAACAAAGGTGAAGCTTTTGCCAGTTGGACAGAGATCCAACCCGGTACTGACCTTCTACAGCATCATGTGGACTTGATGATTGGATGATGAGGTGGATTGAGAACTGGCTGAATAACAGAGCTCAGAGGGTTGTCATCAGTGGTGTGGAATCAAGTTGGAGGCCTATATCTAGTGGTGTCCCCAGGGGTCAATACTGGGTCCAGTGTTGTTCAAGCTACTCATCAATGATTTAGCTGAAGGAACAGGGTGCCTCCTCAGCAAATTTGCTGATGATACTAAACTGGGAGGAGTGTTTGATATGCCAGACAGCTGCACTGCCATTCATAGGGACCTTGACAGGCTGGAGAGATGGGTAGAGAGGAACCTCATGAGGTTCAACAAGGGAATGTGCAGTGTCCTGCATATGGGAAGGAATAACCCCTTGCACCAGTACAGGTTGGGGGCTGACCTCCTGGAAAGCAGCCCTGCGGAGAAGGACCTGGGAGTCTTGCTGGACAACATGTTAAATACGAGCCAGCAGTGTGCTCTTGTGGCCAGGAAGGCTCACAGTATCCTGGGTTGTGCCAGCAGGTCAAGAGGTGATCCTCCCCCTCTACTCAGCCCTGGTGAGGCCCCACCTGGAGTACTGTGTCCAGTTCTGGGCTCCCCAGTACAGGAAGGACATGCAACTCCTGGAGCATGTCCAGTGAAGGGCATATAAAATAGTTAAAGGACTGAAGCATCTTTCATATGAGGCAAGGCTGAGGGAGCTGGGACTGTTCAGCCTGGAGAAAAGATGACTCAGAGGGGATCCAATTAATGTTTATAAATATCGAAAGGGAGAGTGTCTAGAGGACAGGGCCAGACTCTTCTCATTGGCACCCAACAATAGGACGAGAGGCAACAGGCATAAACTGCAGCATAGGAAGTTCCATCTGAACATAAGGAAGAACTTCTTTACTGTGAGGGTGACTGAGCACTGGAACAGGTTGTTCAGAGTGATTATGAAATCTCCTTCCCTGGAGATATTAAAAAAATGTCTGGACAAAATACTGGTTCATGTGCTCTAGGAGTCCCTGTTTGAGCAGGGTGGTTGGACTAGATGACCTTCAAAGGTCCCTTCCAACCTCAGCCATTCTGTGATTCTGTGATCTAGTGGATTCTTACTGACACCTGGCTGTTTAAAACCTCTCATGCTGAAGTAAAGCTGCTGTGGCATACTTCAGCAGCAGCGGCACCCACCAGAGGATGTGAGGGCAGAAACCGGACCAAGGTGTGACTGAAGGGAAGCTGATAGGAGTGCAGCAGCAGGAAGGTACAGGCAGGGAAGCATCAGGAAGCTTCAGTGCAAAACAGACAGCAGCTAGAGTGTATCACTACTCTGACAACCTGGGCTAACAACAGCAGTTTAAGACATATAGTACTACTACTATACAATACCGTTCTCATAATTTGATTTAAATTATATCGCTAGAAGTACTTGATGTAATTGGGGCCACAATTTATGTTTCTTCTATCTGAAGAGTATTTACTAACATGATACCTGATATGAGATGGGATTTATTGTTTCTCTGTGCTGCCATACTTCATCTGTCAATTTTTAGGAATAAATATCAAACATATTTTCAATTAAAACAAACACAAAAGCTTGCATTATTTGAACATTTTGCTAAAATAACTCAGAGTCTTTGTGGAAAAACCTTTGCTGGACAACATTTCATTTTATTCGTATACCCTCATTAACATAATAAGTATGTGGATACAATTATATCCAGCTGTGTTTTCTTTTTTGTGTTGCTTTTTTAACTGGACTACCATAGTTCAAGTAGTGAGATGCCTGTCAGAGTGCTCTGCTACAAGATTCCTATTTAGTGTGTAGTATATAATTTGCATACTAATACCGTAAATAGTTTTCAAACAGATTTCCTGGAAGACTTCTATATGTGTAAATAGAATGTTTATTTCTTTCAGGACTAAGATTCTATATGAAAACATTTCCCTCTCCACACACACAGAGGAAAGTCTTGTGACCTTGTCGAAATTATCATACAGCAAGATTATAACCAGGGTAGAATTTGTCCATCACCTGTTTCTAAATAGCTGGTTGAAAAACTGTCATATATTCAAAGGACACTTAGTTTCTTTTCATCCATTTAGCAAGCCCTTATCTCAAGGTACAAATGCCATTGTATTCATTTACAGAAAGGGACACGTCAGTCCAGTCATTATAAATTCACTGCTAAGATAAACAGATGCAGATAAATAATATAAAAAAAAAACCCCACATATAGAAGATTTTTTAATTCCTACTTCAATTACTGCATAGTCATATTAGTATGAATTCCAAACAACACAACTTTCTATTGATGCTGTCTAGGAGGCTGCATGATAGGATTCTGCCAAGAAAAACAGTGGAAGGAGGAAGCCTCCTCTTCAAGGAGAGGAGGTCCAAGAACTCCAGAACCAAGAACCTACATGCTTGGATCTGGCTACAGCCAATATTTGAAGACAACCACTACCTGAGAGTAAGTTTAGATTAAAAAATCCACTTGATATTAATAATCTTTCCCTGCTAACTGTGGCAACAGTGAATTAATTAATTAAGCCCTTGTAATAGTGCTAACAGTGAATTAATTTCTTTACATATGTAGCAACTCTTTGGAAGAATTCACTGTTTACATCAAGTGGGATGCTTTAGCCATGGTACATTTCCATCAAAATAGTGCATAATACCTAATACTTATAGTCTGTTTGCTGTACAAATTTGCACACTCCAAGGGCTAATTTAATGCCTGGACAAGTAGCCAAAATCAACTGCTATCAACATTTTTTGTGTAAAAATCTCTTTTCTGTGATGTAATTCTAGTAAGTGTGACATCCTCAACAGAAAGTAAATTAATGTTTATAATGACACCAGTTTAATTTT